GTTGAGATTTTGGTCTTGATTTCATAAATCTGGGCAGCATCGTTGACTTTTGAGTAGGTTTCTCTCACGGCATCCCATATCTCCTTTGCCGTACTCAAATACATACATGTGTCATTGATTTCAGGCAGCATAGAGTTCCATAACCAGGGCATCACAAGTGAGTCATGTTCATCCCAAGCATCAAACTTAGGGCCTCCTTGTTTAGGCCCATTACCGAGCAAATGACCTAGTTTGCCTCTTCCCTTAAAAAACGTGCGAACCAATTGAAACCACTTAAGATAATTCTTTCCATTTAATTTGTAAGCAGCCTGAATATTATGCAAATCCCTGTAGAAGTGTTGATGTTGCTCTCGGTCGAGGAAATCACAGAAGACTCGGTCGTGTTGCTGGTTGCAGACGCATCTGTCATGGTGCTTGGATAAATCGATCACGTTTTAGATGGTGATAATAGAAAAGAAGGAATAAAGGGTTGGTCTTACAATAAAAAGGATTCAAGCGGACATCGAGCAGTAACAATGTTGAAAAATAATGCTGAAATTGTTGATTGAAACAGGCTGAAAGAAACAGAAAGAATCGAGAAGAAACAACCCAGAAAAGAGCCTAGGGCTCTGATACCATGTCAGAATATCAATTGGGAGAAAAGTGATTCTTTCATACAGCAAATAGGTTACAATAGGCTGAGATATATAAACGGCACTGCAGCCTAAACAGAATATACACTTAACAGAATCTCCTAGAAATCAGGAAATTACACAATTCTCTATAGTCACACGGTTTCCTAATAAGGCCACATAATTCAACAGCCACAATTATCTTCAGTGGTCTCAATCTGTGATGATGTTCATCTGTGAGAAGGGTAAGGATGAATACCTCACTGGTGAAGTCACAATTCCAAAAAAAAAAGGATCCCAAATTCAGGACATAAAGGACTGAAAATCACATGATCATGTCTTGGATGATCAACTCAATGAACAATGAAAAAGGTGAAAATTTTCTCCTATACAGGATTGCAAATGAGATATGGGATGCAGCACGAGAAACGTATTCCAATTCAGAAAACACTTCAGAACTATTTGAGGTTGAAGCCGCATTACACGATCTACGTTAAGGGGATCTCATAGTCACTCAATACTTCAATGCCCTCACCAGCCATAGGCAACATCTCAACATGTTTGAAGTTCATCCATGGAAGTGCACTGAAGATACAAAACTATACAGGAAAATCGTGGAGCAGAAAAGAGCTTTCAAATTTTTTCTTGGTCTCAACAAAAACCTAGACGAAGTCAGAGGAAGAGTGATGGGAACGAAACCTCTTCCAAGCATAAGGTAGGCCTTCTCAGAAGTTCGTCGAGAGGAAAGTAGAAAGAAGCTAATGATGGGATCTCAAAATCCTGCTCCAACCTTAAAGGATCTGCATTAGCAGCCCATGGATCTCAGACAAGCAACTTAAGTGAAAACATGTAGAGGAAAGGAAGACCGTGGTGTGATCACTGTCGCAAACCAGGACATCTTAGGGAGACTTCCTGAAAAATCCATGGCCAACCTATGGGATGTTCGTTTCAAGGGTTCGTCCCTAGTTCTGAATTATGTTTCTTGATTCACAATAATGTATGAGGTCACTCAAGTGTAAAAATATAACGGGAACACGATGGTTTGTATCTTTTGTTGATGATCATACTAGATTGACATGGGTGTTCCTCATGAAAGAAAAATATGAAGTTGGACAAATTTTCTAAAATTTCAACTCCATGATTCAGACACAATTCCATACCAAGATCCAAGTCCTAAAACCTGACAATGCCAAAGAATGCCATGAGACAAGGAATTGTCTACTTCAGCTCTTGTGTTGACACCCCCCAACAAAATGGGGTTGTAGAGAGGAAAGACACACTTATTAGAGGTAGCTTGGCCACTCATGTTCACTACCCATGTTCCAAAACATTTCTGGGGAGAAGCAATACTCATAGCCACATACATCATCAACCGGATGCCCTCCAGAGTTCTCAAGTTCCAAACTCCATGTCAAATTGTTCTCCAAAACTTCCCACACACCAAATTCATCTCATATTTTGATCCTAAAGTATTTGGGTGTTCTGCATTTGTCCATATACACTCTCAACATCGTGGCAAGTTAGACCCAAACTCCATCAAATGTATCTTTCTTGGGTACTCCCCACACCAAAAGGGTTATCAGTGCTACTCTCTTATAACAAAAAGAGTCTACAACTGAATGGATGTGATATTTTTTGAACACCAATCTTTTTTTCCCAAACCTACAATTTAGGGGGAGACCATGAGGGAATATCAGCTTTGGGATCCATGAGGGAATATCAGCTTTGGGATCTTGACATGTAGTCTGGGGACACTTCATTCTCACTTTAGCCTTATTCATTACCTATTTCAGAGTTTACTCCTCAACCAGGAACCATTGATCATACAACTCCATCTCCACAACCCGAGAGTCTTCCTATTCCTACACAATCTGAGAGTCATCTTCCTGGAAGTCCGTCTCTTGTCCGAAATAGTCCATCCCCTTCTCTTACCCGAAATTGTCCTCAACAAAGTGCAAATAAGGAGTTAATTGTTTACTCCAGGAGGAAGAAATCTAGAAAGGAGATAGAGCACACAACACCTCTCATACTTGACCAAGAAGCTGATTCGGATCCAATGCCTACTCAAATTCACTCAGGTAAAGGAAAACTCTGATCTTAAGACTACAACACCTATTATGGATGATTTAAATATTCCAATTGCTCTGAGAAAGGGTGAGAACTTGTACAATCATCCTATCTCCGATTTGTCTCATAAGAAGGATTGTCACCATCCTACCAGGCCTTTGTGTCTACTCTTGATAGTGTGCAGGTTCCTAATTCTATTCAGGCTGCTCTCAAGAATCTAGAATGGAGAAAGGCGGTTAGTGAAGAAATTAGAGCATTAAAGAGAAAAACGGCACATGGGTGATAACAGTTCTTCCTCCTGAGAAGAAACCAGTTGGCTATAAGTGGATCTTTACCATCAAACATAAGGTTGATGGAAGTATTGAGAGGCTAAAGGCTCGGTTGGTTGCTAAGGGGTTTACTCAGTCTTATGGAATAGACTATCAAGAGACATTTGCTTCAGTGGCTAAACTAAATACTATCAGAGTCCTCCTTTCTTTTGCAGCAAACCAGGATTGGCCTATGCACCAACTAGATGTTAAGAACACATTTCTGAATGGTGATCTAGAAGAAGAAGGGTACATGGAAATACCTACAGGACTGGAAACTACCTTCAATAACAAGGTATGAAAACTCAAGAAATCTCTATACGGGTTCAAGCAATCTCCTCGTGCATGGTTTGATAGGTTTGCAAAGTCAGTGATTAGATATGGATACACCCAATGCCAAGTAGATCACACACTGTTCGTGAAGTTCTCTCTAGAGAAGAAAATAGCAGTATTGATTGTGTATGTTGATGACATCATCCTAACAGTTGACTATGAGGAGGAACTATTGAGATTAAAGGTATTTCTAGCCAAGGAATTTGAAATTAAAGACCTTGGTAATCGTAGATATTTTCTTGGAATGGAGGTCGCTAGATCGAAGAAAGGGATATTTGTTTGTCAAAGTAAATATGTCCTGGATTTACTAAAGGAGACATGTATGCTTGGTTGTAAACTTGCAGATACACCAATGGACTCAACTAAGAAGATAGGGACATGAAAAGATAATGCACCAGTCGACAGTGGGAGATACCAGAAACTTGTAGGGCGACTCATCTACCTCTCACACACAAGACCTGACATAGGAATTTGAAATTAAAGACCTTGGTAATCTCATATATTTTCTTGGAATGGAGGTCGCTCGATTGAAGAAAGGGATATTTGTTTGTCAAAGTAAATATGCCATGGATTTACTAAAGGAGGCAGGTATGCTTGGCTGTAAACATACAGATACACCAATGGACTCAACTAAGAAGATAGGGACAGGAAAAGATAATGCACCAGTCAACAGTGGGAGATACTAGAAACTTGTAGGGCGACTCATCTACCTCACACACAAGACTTGACGTTGGTTTTCCAATTAGTGTGGTAAGTCAGTTCATGCACAACCCCATAAAAGAACATATAGAAGTTGTGTATATAATTTTAAGTTATCTCAAACTGAAAAAAGGGATGTTGAAATCTTCTCAGATGCAGACTGGGTAGGAGATGTGAGAGATAGAAGATCAACAACTGGTTACTGTTTCTATGTTTGGGGAAATCTCGTGACCTGGAGAAGCAAGAAACAGCCTGTAGTCTCAAGGAGTAGTGCAAAAGTTGAGTTTAGAGCATTGGCCCTAGGTATTTGTGAAGGAATGTGATACACAGGTTACTCAGTGAGTTGGCAATTCAGAAACCTATCAAGTTATTCTGTGACAACCAAGCAATCATAAGCATTGCTAAGAATTATGTACACCATGACAGGACAAAGCATTTTGAGATTGACCGACATTTCATCTCAGAGAAGATTGAGACTTTTGTTGTGCAACTGGTTTACACCCCTACACAATCAAGTGGCGGACATACTCACTAAAGATCTTCCAAGAAAAAATTTTGAAGAACTGAGTCACAAGCTGTGTTTGTTCAACATATACAACATAGCTTGAGGGGGAGTGTTGAATTCCTGCATTCAATTAGTTAGGAATTTTAGGGATTGTTTTATTTCTTTGGAATAATTTTACGAGGAGAATCTGGTAATATATTACTAGATTCTGTTTTTATTCTTTCCTAGTTTAGTGGAGATTGTTTCCTCCTTTACTGCAGTCTAGGATCGTCTCTTAAGGGAAAACTTCCTGTATATATTCATTGCATTTTTCATTCTAAAGAACATAGAAAAACAGAGCAACTCATTCTCTCAAAACCTACATATTCATGTAAAAGAAATTGTATTCTCTACTGTGCTATCTAATACAAATTACTTTAATTATATTCCGGAGTAGCAAGTTTCTAACACCAGCTACATGTTTCCTCGACAATTCAGGCACCCAGAACATCAAGAGGAAATATTCTAAAATCATCTGGAGGGCGAAATGGCAGTAGTCCTCAAGCTAATTCCTGGTTCAGCATCATTGATAACCTGAATGGACTTCTCTGTACATTGAAAGAAAATTTTGTAAGTGGTCCACTTTAACGATTTTAAAGCAAGCAATTCCTTCTTTTTTAGAAAATGTGAAGTCATTGTTGTCCGTTTTATTTCAGGTGCCTCCAGTTCTTGTTCAGAAGATATTTACCCAAACTTTCTCATATATCAACGTACAATTATTTAATAGGTAATTCTTTGTTTCTGCTTTTTTCAAAATATGTTTTCTTTAGATTAAAGGCAACCCATATTAAACTGTTGATGCATTGTTCCCTGATGCTGCTGCAGCCTTCTTCTACGTCGAGAGTGTTGCACATTCAGCAACGGGGAATATGTGAAATCTGGGTTAGCTGAATTAGAGCTGTGGTGTTGCCAAGCAAAAGAAGAGGTACTCTTTTACTATCATCATGAGCATTTTTTAGGATAACTTCTTTTCCACTTTTGAAACACTCGGCCACCTTTGCATATTTTATCTTGGATAGCACAGTCATGTTACTTCATGACATATTCCAAGTATTCCTGGGTTGATGATTCCTCTTCTTTCAGTATGCTGGCTCGTCATGGGATGAACTCAAACATGCGAGGCAGGCTGTTGGATTCTTGGTATGTTTCTTCAACTATGTTAAAGAAATACTTGTGATTGCTTTTTATCATGTTACTAAATTATTTAATTACCTAAGAATATTGTCTCTTTTGTACTGTGGTTATGATTACCATACGCATAAACTAAATGACCTCATTCTATAGTCAGTATTGAAAAGGTTCTTTTTATTGTGGGGAGAGTAAAAATAATCACCTCATGATTATCGAGTTTAGTAAGAAAGTAGGAATTTCCTGACCACGAGGTGACTTATTCCAGAAATTTACTTCTAATCAATTATATTTTTGGGAACTAAATTCATATTTAGATGTATTTTGTTTCTTAGCTAGTATTTCCGTGCAGGTCATACACCAGAAGTCTAGAATATCGTATGATGAAATTACAAATGATCTATGCCCAGTAAGTTTCTTCACCCTCTTTCTGTGACTGGAAACTGCAAGAACATTATAAATCGACACAAATACTAGTACCAAAAGCAAATTCGTGTGTGAAACCAAGATGCACTTCATATTATATTTGTTGAATGTTTGTGCCTAAACTAGCTATATATATAGAAGAGGAGTGAAACTTGTTCTATCATATTGTATAGATTGTTACGTATGTTTTTGGAACTACATAGTAAGTTGGTAAATTGAAGTTACATATAGATTTGAGGTATGAGAATAATTTCTGAGTTTCACATCAATGTTTGCTTCCTTGTTCAGATCTTGAGCGTTCAACAGCTTCATAGAATATGCACGCTATATTGGGATGACAATTACAACACCCGAAGTGTATCTCCAGATGTAAGTTACAAAAAAAAAAAGTATTTTGAAATTGCTATACAGTGTCATCTGGCAGTTATTAATGCTGTGATACTGCGAACCTTTTTTCTGTACAGGTGATTTCTAGCATGAAGATTATTATGACCGATGATTCCAATGATGATGATAGTATCTCCTTTTTGTTGGATGACAACTCCAGGTTAAAAATGAACTTTTTTTTTTTTTCTCCCTCAACTATAAATTACTTTTATCCCAGCACCTACTAGTACTAATCATGGTTCATGTATTGCAGCATTCCGTTCTCAGTTGATGACATTTCTAGTTCCTTTCAAGACAAGAAATATTCAGATGTAAAAGCTCCAGAAGAACTCATCGAGAATCCAGCCTTCCAATTTTTACAGGATTAAGGCGGGTGATTCTTCAATTGTCTTCTGTTTGTGCTTCAAATATTTGATAAAACATTCAACCGAGCTTTTAAACTCTCAACACCCTGTCAATGAATGTCCCGGACTGTAAATCCGCCTCCGAAATTTTCCTTTTCTTGTATTCCTTCTATTCATTGTAACTTCTTATGCGCTGGATGTAAAATTATTCTTTTAAATTAGGACTGTAAAGTTTCATAGGCCGGTTTAGGGTTAGCTTATTTGGGCAAGAATAGGTTTTGCACATCAAGTGCAATTATTATTTTCTTTTAATTTCTTCTCTTTTTTTTAATGGGTCACCTTGGGTCCAGCATTCCTTGTAGGATATGGTAGGAGGGAAGAAAAAGAGGGAAAAAAAAAAAACAAATATCATGTGGTGTGGTGGGACAAGCTGATATGAAGACTACTGCTTCTTGTCCCCAGAATTCATGTAGTACAAAGCAGAATACATTCAGATCTATGTAGTAGAATTGCTTGGCATGTGGTTTTAGCAAAAACCCATTGTAAGACTTATATGACTTGGGTTATACCATAGATTATTGTTTTATAATATAACTGTTCTTCCATCTTGCAATGAGTTGTTAGCAAATTTTATTCTTTATGTAACTTAAATGGATGGAAAAGTTGATGTGGGACTAAATTTGGACTAAATTTGGAAGATTAAAACCTAATTTAAGTTAAAAACTTAATAAGAAATTAGCACTAAAAACTATTTATAGTACTTTCTCTTTAAGAAAAAAGCACCCTAGAGTCTGGACCCTTGCTCAATATTTATTTTGTATTTATAGGAGTAAATTTTGTTAATTTTAGTATTAGGAGTCGTTTTATCACTGTTTATTTATTTATTTATATATATTATAGTTTTTAGCTTAGATTAGATTTTAATCTTTCAAATTTCGTGTCACTTTATGTTAGCTAGGTAGCAAATGATATTTTTCTTGCAAAAGAATAATCAACAATGCATTACATTCAGAATAAACAGATAAATGAAAATAACATCAACATTTCAATGATTATTCAAAAAGAAAATAATGTCTTTTCATTTTCATCATAAAATGAGTAAACGTCAATAATGTCTGATACAACAAAAGAAATGAAATGTCGTTTAACGTGTAACACACGAGAAATTACTGCTTCGTTTGTTTTGTATATTCGAGTTGAGATGTGACGTTCTATTAAAGTTTTTAACTGTAGTAAAAAAAGTTAGATGTGACATTTTCTGAGAGTTTTTAACTGTAACAAAAAAAAATTTAAATGTGACATTTTTTGAGAGTTTTTAACTGTATAAATTAAAAAATGAAAACTCAAATTCAAGAAATGGGCGAGTCCTACATGTTGATTATAGAGTAGAAAAACAAACTTTACACAAAACGACCAAGACATGTCGTTTGGTGTATGAACGACAATAGCATTTCTTTTTGCACTGAAACGACAACAACATGTTTTCCCACGAAAAACATGCGGCTGCTCTCTCTCTCTCTCTCGCGCGCGCGCGTTCTGTAAACAACTAAACAAATCTTGATAATTGTCAGAAGAAGCGTCTTGACCCGAAACCAAATAAAATAATAATGAAGAAAAAAGAAAAAGGAAAAAGGAAAATAATAAAAAAAAGTTTATATTTTCTCTCTCCTATTACGATTTCTCCAATCGGTTACAATCGAATACAACTCATCAAAATCAGACCTCCAATTTCCCTTTTTCTGCTCACTAAGGTTGGCTCTTTCTTTATGATTTTTGTTCTTTTTCTTTTTTCATTTCAATTTCTTGGGTCTTTTTCTTTTTCGCTGTGAATCAATTCTTAATCATATGTATTTGCTGGAAAGATCGATATGAGGTTGATTATCATTTTCTAACATGTAAGAAATGTGCATGATTGGCTTGAGAATTGAGTCTGAAGGAATTGAATTTGCATATTAGAATTCTGTTGTTCTATTTGTAGAGTGGGTAATGCTTGGTTTTGTGATTTGTAGAGTGGAAAATCTTTCAAGTTGATTACTAATATAGTCATCAAACTTAATGAGTTGTTGTAATAATTTTTGTTCGTTCCATGAATTTATTCACCCAAATTGTACTTCAATTCACTTGTAATTCATGACCTGAATTTCTGATTTTCTAACATGCCCACCTTTTGGTCACCGATTTTGCAAGTGATTATTCTCTAGAATCTCAGGTTGACCTTTTCAAAAGAGATGGAAATTGATTATATCTTAGCTTTTTGTTTGTTTGAGATGCCTAGATCATGTAGGAAAAAAAAAGAATAGTTTGATCAATTTTCTAGTTTTTAGATGGTTCATTTATTTTCCATTTCGATTCTATCTTGAGTTGATTTTGCTATTCTTGTGAATGTAATTTCTTTGGCTTAACTATAGTGGAAGTTCTATCTTCCATTGGGTACAAATGGCATCCGTCTCTAAGTTGGGGAAAGGAAGAGTGTTGGTGGTTATATAATGCTATGAAGTTTTAATTAGACATGCCCAAATAGCTTTTGAATCTTTTGTAGCTGTTTTTTCTTTATTTAATTGTGTGGTTTGCAGTTATTTGATGATTATGGTATGATATGAATTCATCATATGTCTGAATTCTGATCACACAAGCGTCGGCACTATTGATTTTGGCGTAGTGGGTCTCACCAAAAAGGGAAATCATAAGTTAATTATTCGTCTTCAGTTTATCCGTTCTTTTCAATTCATGGTCTCTTCAATGGAAATTGTGGCTACGAGTTTAAGTAGGTTATATTTTATGTTGGATTCAGCCTCTTCAAAGGAAGATGTATTATGATATGTTTTTAGGGCACGATCATTTGGTGTTTGATTTTTCTTTGGAAGAAGTTTAAAACCAAAATAGGGAGAAAACGCTACCGATATCTGATCAATCTCAGGAACTTTGGATGCAAAACATTACCCTTTAAAAAGAATGAAGCTTGTTAATCATGTAATTTGTCTTATATTATATCCAAGTTTATGTTTTTGATTGTAGAATCCTCTAATCTTAATACGCCCTTTATGATGCGTCAGATTTTGTGTATTTCTAAATACAGTGAAAAATGAGTTGGTGGTGGGCTGGAGCTATTGGTGCTGCTAAGGTGAAAATCATAACCATTGTCTCAATCTCTATTTGTATGCCTTTTTGCAGACGCATATACGTCATACACAACTCTTATTTTGACAAATTTATTATTACTTTTCTTCAGAAAAAGTTTGAAGAAAATGAAGCACCCATAAGCTATCAGAGTGTGGGGTTGGTGGTTGGCGTGACTGGCATTGTGGGCAACAGCCTGGCAGAAATCCTCCCACTCTCAGACACGCCTGGCGGCCCGTGGAAGGTCTACGGTGTGGGTCGACGACCACGCCCTAATTGGAATGCTGACCATCCTATCGAATACATCCAATGCGACATCTCAGATCCTGAAGACACCAATACAAAGCTTTCAACGTTGACTGATGTCACCCACATCTTCTATGTTACTTGGGCTAACCGAGCCACTGAAGTTGAGAACTGCGAGGTGAATGGTGCTATGTTCCACAATGTGCTGCGTGCTCTGATCCCAAATGCCCCAAACCTGAGCCACATTTGCCTCCAAACAGGGACCAAACACTATATTGGCCCTTTCGAGTCCTTTGGCAAGATCAAGCCCCATGATCCTCCTTTCACAGAGGATTTACCCCGATTGGAATATCCCAACTTCTACTACACTCTGGAAGACGTGCTGCAAGAAGAGGTCAGGAAAAAGGAGAGCTTGACTTGGTCTGTGCACCGTCCCGACACGATATTCGGGTTTTCCCCTTACAGCTTGATGAACTTGATTGGCACGCTTTGTGTCTATGCTGCTATATGCAAACACGAGGGTCGTCCACTGAAATTCCCTGGGACCAAAGCAGCTTGGGACTCTTACTCTGTGGCCTCAGATGCAGATTTGATTGCAGAGCAGCAAATATGGGCTGCAGTGGACCTATATGCAAAGAATGAAGCCTTTAACTGTAACAATGGGGATGTTTTCAGGTGGAAGCATTTCTGGAAGGTCTTGGCTGAGCAGTTTGGAATCGAAGATTGGGGGTTGGAAGAGGGTGAGCGTTTGAGGTTGACGGAGTTGATGAAGGACAAAGGTCCCGTCTGGGAGGAGATAGTCAAGGAGAATCAACTTGAGCCCACCAAGTTGGAGGAAGTGGGTGTGTGGTGGTTTGCTGATCTCATGTTTAGTGGGAGAGCTCCCTTGTCTAGCATGAACAAGAGCAAGGAGCATGGATTCTTGGGGTTCAGGAATTCCAAGAATTCTTTTATCTCTTGGATTGACAAGGTTAAAGCTTACAAGATTGTGCCCTGAAAATGTTGGAAATCAAAGTTGTGGGCATGCAATATTTGTTGTGGACGTGTAGTTTTCGTTGCCGTTTGTTTTTCTAAAACTTGATTGGTCGGAAATAAACATGAACAAGAGAAAAGGTGAAGCATGGGCGTGATTTTTCATGGGATAAAATTTGGTTGAATGTTGTGGATTCAAAATCTAGTGGCGTGATAGTGTTTAGTTTTGTAGTCAAAATACCTTTTGTTTTAAGCATCCATTTTGCAAGTCAAGAACTACAGAATGCATCTGTGATCAATATGTTGAATAAATCGTTCCCATTTATCTGTTTGATAAAAATTCAAGAACTGCATGTTCATTTTATTCTTTGGACGACCTCAAACTTTGCTAGACATGGCTTCCGTTGTTGAAGAGCTTTTCATCGAGGCTGACAGAGTTTTAGTTTGGTCAATAAGCTTGAAGGTCTTAAAACACTTGTAATGCCCGTCACTAGCATTACTGCAACCATTTTATTAATCTGATTTTTTCTATAGTTCTCAGCTATTAGAGGATGTTTGGTAGAGGAATTCGTTTCCTGATTCGAATCATGATTCTTAGTTTGCTATAGTATTTTCTCTTATAAAAAATACACGTAAATCGAAAATCGTTCGAATCACATGGTTTGAATCTTCTAACCAAACGTCCTCTTAGTGTGTTCAAGTTTGTAGAAGTTAATTAGTACACGTGTAAGCTTTGTGTAAAGTTGTGTTTTCATGTGGAATTTAGTCGGATATCTTTGAGGATGCCCTTGAGTGAGCATAAAGACTTGTACCCTTTTTAAAACTAGATGAATGTTCTTTTTTCTGTTTTTTTTTTTTTTTTCTCAGGATTTCTACTGTAGGATGTGTCCTTTTTAACCTACTAATAGATACTATCGTTTTAACGATTGAATTAAATTTTCAATTATCTGATCTATGATTATAGCATTTTTGTATTGCAAGTTATGAATTTTTAACGTGAAAACCAACAAATCAGACTGTTGAAAGTTTAATCCAACTGTTAACAGTTCATACCGGTAGTTTAAAAAGACAATTCTCCCCATAGAAGTTCCCCACTTTTTCATTCGTGTCTTTTACTGACAAAATTTTGAGAGAAGTTGAAGGGCAACAGGCAAATTCCCTAATTTTTCAGTGTTACTTGCATTCCTTTGACTGCTTTGACAGGTTCACACGGCCCGGGCTGGTTTACTCAGGCTTTCCAAACAGATATAAAGAAAGCCCAACCTGTTCTTAACAACACATTTTCTCCTCTTTTACGTGCACAAGAGAGGTTCAACTAAAAAAAAAACTAAAACAATTTCAGAACAAAAAAAGAAAAAACTAAACAACTAAAAAAAATAGGGCGCTTTCTCTTACTACCCTACATTCCGAAATAAAGACTTTTAATCCCTCCAAAAAAAAAAAAAAAAGACTTTTAAGCAATTTGCATATTTTTTTTTCTATTTAATTATCTGCCAATTGTCCTTAATTAATATCCATTTAGATCCCTCGAGCCACTATATTAGCTGCAACATTGTCCCAATGCATGCATTTTCCTGCCCCCTTTTCCCCGTTTCTATCGATGTATGTGAGGAAAGAAATAAAACAAAAGAAATAACAAAGCTCAAATATTCGTTGCGAAAACGGAGAGGAAAAAAAAAAAAAAAAAAAGAAGCCAAAGTATTTTTGAATGTTATTTCTGGTCTGGGGTGGGTGCACCTTGTTAATAATTAGGCTTGGAAGCACATGGTGTTCTTGTACTTGGAAAATTAATAAATAAATAAATTCATATTTTTGTTTTCTGGTCATTAAAAGCTAAATGTTGACCGTTTCTTCACTAACGACCACCACTCAAACTCTTTCTCTCCAACATTCATGTGATGTCACATGTGTTGCCATGTTTCACATCTGATTCATCTCTCCTCCCCACTTGGCCAAGAAAAAAATTTGACCCTAATTTTTTATATTCCCTAATACCCTTTTCAGTTATTACAGTTATGGAGTTAGTTGCATTAATTTTATCTACAGAAAATAAAAGAAAAACAAATAATAAACATAAATTTGGCAATAGTACGAATAAGAGCATATGGATCGAGGTTTCAAATTCCACGTTGTGGGTTTAGAAGGTTTCTAGCATGCAATTGCAAGTTGCATTGTGGTTTTAATTTTTAAACTCAAATGGTTGTATGCAGCGAGAGGTTTTAAAATACTAAAATAAAAAACTGGCCTTAAAGTGATACTATTGTCTTCTTTAAAAAGTTGTTGAGATAATACTAGAATAGCAATATATGATATTATGTGCTTTGAAACATTCCACATCAATTAATTGATATCCAAGTATTATGCAAGTCGGGATCACTTTTGCCTTGCTATATAGTCTATAGAAGATTTTGTTTTGTTTTGCTGTGTTTTGTTTTGTTTTTTTTGTTTTTTTTGTTTTTTTTAAGAGAATAGCATGAATTGTTCAAAATATTTTTTAAAAATGGTAGAAAATAGGTCTAACTTTAAAATTTATATTAGTGAATAACCAATTTACTAATATATAGAAATTAATAGACCCTTATGTTTTGAATTTTTCATTTTTCAATTTTATCCTTTTTATTTTTTATTACCTTTTTTGTCTTTTCCCTCTCGGTCTTCTTTTTTCTCTCTATCTGTCATTCGTGGGTCCACTCTTCTCTCTCTCTCATTGCCTCTCTCTCATCACTTTTCTCTCATCGCCGACCGTTCTTTCTTCTGAGATTGCGAATTAAAATTCGAAGGTGTGATAAATCTAAGATTTACCATCAAAACACATATTGTGTTTATTTGTAAATCTACGATTTTAATGTGTAAATTTAGGATTTACTGCTACTGAATTATTTTAATTTTATTAATATAAGATAAACAGTTTTTAGTTATGTTAGTAAATTTAAGATTTACAATTAGAACATAGATTGTATTTGAAAATCCAATATTTATTATCATAACACAATTTTTGTTCCTTGTAAATCCTTGATTTACTATGGATTTACAATCATAACACATATTATTATTTGTAAATCTTAGATTTAAAGTGGGTATGCAGTATTTAGTGTTACTGGATTATATTAACTTTATTAATATACAATAAACATTTTTTTTTTAGTTTTGCTTGTAAATCCAGGATTATTATGAGAGTACAATTTATGTTCTTTCGTAAATCCTAGATTTACACTGTAAATCTAGGATTTACCATCAGAACACGTATTGTATTTATTCATAAATCTTGAATTTACAATATAAATCCAAGATTTACGAAGAAACTCTATATGTTGTTTTGTTGAATTATTGATTTACAATGTATGTGGCACGAGATTTCTAGACGTGATGAGAGAGAGAAATAGAGAGAGAAGGAGGAGAGAAAGAATAGAGAGAGAGTCAGAGTAAATTTTAAGATTTCATTTCTTTTTTTTTTTAATTTGGGGTTTTTTTAGAATGTTAATTTAGTCTAAATACAAATTTGCGCCCATTAAATCTACTTACTAACTAATTATAAACTTTGATCTATTTATACTTATTGTCATTTTAACTAGGCATATTTCCCTCAATCTTCTAATATTTTTCTTGTAATAATGCTTAGTGTAACACTCTGAAGAATTAATTGAGATTAATTAAGGTAATTGAGATTATTAGTGTGCCTAATCTGGATTATTAATTGAGTATTAATTAATAAATGTTTCTGACACGTGTGAGTTTAAATAGTTCCAAGGTATTTAAATTATTCTCAGTAATTTATTTTAAACTAGAAGTGTGTATGGGTGCATTTCTGGACTGCTCTTTTAAAATATTGTACACATGTCATTTTCTTTTCTTTTTCCTTTTCTTTTCTTTTCCTTTTCTTTTCCTTTTCTTTCCTTTTCCTTCCCGTGCATCACTCTCTCTCTCTCCCCCTCCCGTGTATCTCTCTCTATTTAAAGAAGTTTTCAACGTCAAGAGGAGGATTCGAGGTAAGATTACTGAAAGAACCTCTCTTGAATCTCAAGTTTTTGAATTTCAAAACTTATTTTTGGTTCAAACCGGATTTTGATGGTTTTTGAGTAAAACTAGAGTAGAAATTGGAGATCTTGGGTTCTTTGGACTTGTTTTAGGACCTAGAACCCAGATCTAGTGGTTTCCCTTTGAAATATTTCGATTTGGTACTGGATTTGCAGGTTTTGGACTGATTTCTGCGAGCTTCTCTCGCGTAGCTGATTCCACCGGTCGACCTGTGCGGTCGACCAGATCACATAGAAACCGGTCGACCTGTGCGGTCGATCGGATTGTAGGCTGACCGGTCCGGTCGACCGGTGTGCACACTACCGGGCGGCCGGGAGGGTTGTACTGCTCTTTC